CATTGTCAGAGTAAGGTAACATTTATTTACAAACAGTATTGTTGAATATTCCATATGTAACTGAAGTTGCTATTTTTACAATTCTATTCATTATGAAATTAAGGGCACCTCTGTGTTTAGTAGATTTCCTCTGTTTCTAAGTATAGTCAGAAGTTTAGCAGGTGAATGGGAACAACTCCTTGATAAATCTTTAATGTCTGATCAGGAGGAGGAAGGAAAGCGTCCCATCTCATCCAAGGGAATGAAGTAACTGAATTTTATAACAAATAAAAATACCTTAGTTTTTTAAAATATTAAATATGTACTATGTTCCAGTGTGAACTCAATGGCCACAAGTTTACCAGTTGCAATTAATTAAAATTATTGGTTGATTAATATATCGAGGACTGTAGTGTCTTCAAAAAAATTTCTTCGTCTTTGCTTCTTTACTATCACACTTGTCCAATAAAGAATTCTATCCTATCTATCTTTATTTTCCATTTTATATTAAACAGAAGCTGCCTCTTCAAAAATAAAAGTACGCTATTTGCTCAGTGGTAAAGAAGTTTAGAGAGATTTGCAGAACTAATAAATTAGTATAAGACCAAATGCTTTAGTAGTATTGTATTTTTGAAACTGAATTTTATATATTTTATTAAGAAGAAATAACTATGGCCTGGTTGACAAAAGAACCTGAGTCTAAACTGTATTGCAAAAATGATGGCTCAGGTGATTGAAAGTGTCTCCATATAAAAGAGTTCTTCACACAGAAATTGGATGCCTGAAAGAAATGTTTTACTTTAGCTTGTTTTATAGTATAAAATATTTTAGCTGAAGGAAATAGTTTCTATTCAGAAGGGTTCTGAATATTCATGCCATATATAATGCTGCCAAAGTATACTACCTCAGTCAAAACTAGGCTACATAGAATATATTTCTTTAAACATTTTTTGAATGTTAGGTACAGTTACAGTAATAATCAGAACTGTATATAAATTTTAATGTATTGACATTGTTGCTATTCAATATTTAATGTGTTTTGTTCATATTTGTCATTTCTGTCATAATATACCGAATTTGTGCTTTCTCTCTCTCTCCCTTTCAACTTGATACTAATATTATCCTTTTTTTATTAAATTGTTGCCCCTGGTGTCATCTAAAGAACAACTAAGCCTACCCCTCATCTTGATGGGTATGTATTTTTGTCTCTTATTTGTAATTGGGAAATTATGCTGAATTCTTCAATGTCAGTCATTTATTAAAATTATGCTTCACTCATTTAGATATCATGTTGTTTTTGGACAAGTAATTTCGGGGCAAGAAGTTGTAAGAGAAATAGAAAATCAGAAGACCGATGCATCCAGTAAACCGTATGCAGAAGTGCGAATAATGAGTTGTGGAGAACTAATTCAAAAATCTAAAGGTAAAATTAAAATACCTTTTTAATAATCTGCTATTTCTGAGAGGGCGGAGCTGGTGTCACGGTGGTACGATGCGCGATTTTGATCCACCAAGATCGCCGTCAATATCTCCACTGCTGGACGGTCCCAACGGACCTAAACTGTCCCGTAGAGACAGTGATTGATAAGGGCACATTCTATTGATCCCAGGGACACTGCAAAGTCCCTGGTTGATCCAGGAAAAGCCCTTTTGCCGGCGGCGGAGAGGCAGCCATTCAAGCTGCTGAAGCTGTGACAGCTCCGGAACGGAAGAGATTGAAAGAAAGTGTGTCAGTTTGGTGAGATGAACTTTTACTTATTATTTCTTGAAGAGAACACCTTGAAAGATTTAAAGTGAAATTAAAAGTGAAGAGAAAAGAGTTTAAGCCAGGGGTCCTCAACCACCGGGCCGCGGACCGGTACCGGTCCGTGGAGCACTCTGTACCGGGCCGCAAATAAAAAAAAAATTAAAAAAATGGCGGCTTTCTTCGCCTTCGGTGAATGCTGCTGGGATCGGGGATCAAGGACACAAATGAAAGAAGGGGAGGGAGGAAGCAACCGAAGCCTGTCCTGCTCTCTGGCTCAGCAGCTTCGGTTTCCTCCCGCCTCGTTCCTCTCTTAGTCGCTCTCTCGCTCCTCCACCAGCGCAGGAAGAAACTGCTTCAAAGAAGCCGGGGGGGGGTGGCTTTTCCTGTCGCCGCAGCTCCTCCGAAGCGCCCGTTTACCCCCGCCCGCCTGCGCGCGCTTCAGTTCAGTGCTCCGTTCTGCCTGCCTGCCTGTCTGGTTGTTTGGGAGCAGCTTTGGCTGAGAATAATAACTATTCGCCTCTTTTTATCAGCCGAAGCTGCTCCGAAACGCAGGCAGGCAGGCAGAACGGAGCACTGGGTTGAACCGCGCGCGGGCGGGCGGGGTGGGGGTAAACGGGCGCTTCGGAGGAGCTGCGGCGACAGGAAAAGCCAACACCCCCCCCGGCTTCTTTGAAGCAGTTTCTTCCTGGGCTGGTGGAGCAGCGAGAGAGCGACTGAGAGAGGAACGAGGCAGACACCTGAGGGAGGGAGGGAGACACCTGAGGGATGGAGCTGAGGGAGGCAGGGCCGAGGCGCTTCCTGAACTTGGTGGTTTGCTGGCAGACGTTTTATTACCCGACTAGATAACAATATCAGATGTTACCTAGTCAGGTAATGAAACGTCTGCAAGCAAACCACCAAACTCGGATTCCCCCCCCCCCCCCCCCATCCTTGAAAAAGTGTTAAACTTTAAACTAGTTAAAGTGAAAGTTTTTTTCCCCTTTTTATTGGAACTTAAAATTTGGCAAAGCTTCTTAACTTTAAACTGGACTGGTCTTTTTTAAACTCTATTTTTATTTTTATTTTTTTTAACAATTTTTTGAAAGTCTGTTTTGATTAAGACTTTCTGATTTGAGATTTATTTCTTTTTTAAAAGAAAGGATTTCATTTTTTCTTTTTGTTCCTGGCATTGGATACATGAGGGGGAAGTGAAAGTGAAGGAAAAAAAGTAGCACTACCATCTAGAGGCTTGGATATATTGTTTCTTCTTCTATTTGGTTATGTATTCGTGTTATACTCAAGGACTCTGAGCTTTGCACTGGAAAAGATAGTGGGATGAGCATGGCAGATTGTTTACACGGGTACCCATCTGTGAAAATATAGATGAATAGAGTCTGGAGTTGAAGTTGAAAGAAGATTGAAGTGACCTTGGAAATACTGGAACTAGAAACTGAGTTGATTTATTAAAGAGTCTTGGATACTCAGTGGCAGTGGCTGGCTTCACATTAGAACTGTTTGTTACTTTTCACTTCCTTTTTTACTCCCCCTCTAGTTGGATTTTTATATCTGGATTTCAACCTTTCATTCCAGGAACTACAATATAATTTATTTATTTATTTATTTGCTCTTTTCCTCTATTCCTTCTTATTAAGAGAAATAATTGGATTAAGGTATACAAGTGCCTGAAGATTTTTTCTTTTTCGCTCTTTATTTTTTGGAGTGGCGGACTTCCGGTGACGAGGTGTGGAGGTGCTGAAGCTCGCTCCGGGTTTTATGCTACCTTTTCTTGCTGTTGGGGTGACCCTTAGGGGTGCACGTATCCCATAGAGAAACGTGCCGGTGTGCGGAGGCTTGAGTTGCGGTGTGGAGAAGGCGACTCTCATCGCGACGTAGAGAGACCTTGTAGAGACCGACAACAAGAGACCGCCATCCAGTAATGGTGCTCCTGAAATACGGATTGTTACATACCGGAGGAAGCAAGTGAGTGACAGATTGTGGTGAAAGAGGAGTGCGAGTGAAGGAATTTGCGATCTAGATTGAGCGTTGAACATTGGAGAAAATCAGTCAGAACGAAGCCCGAAAGCAGTGGCCAAAGTGGATACGAGTGGTGGTGAAAGCGAAAGGGCTCTTGAAACAGAAGAGGGTAAGGACACGAGCGATCGGATAGGGAAGATAAGAAAATCAGAGAGGCTTGTGTAACTGACAATAACCGGAAGAAAAAAAAAGCAACGAACTTAGCTTTTACGAAGTGTGAGAGATTTGGTTTGTAGACTCTGGGAAGATTGGACTAACGAACCTGAGACCGGGGGAAGATCGGAAGTGAGGAAGCAAACAGCCTTACCATTTCCAGATACACTATGGACAAAATCTAATAACTTATTGGAGTCTTTTTGGACTATTGGTTTGGAGCTGGAATAAGTGGAGGAGACCTAATTAATTGAAGAGACTATAGGAAATTTGGAGATTGATCTACAGGAGTTTTAAACGAAAGGAGGAACGGTTACAGCTGAGGGTGCGGTGAGACTGTGAAACCAGAGACATTACTCAGCAAGACTGTGCTTCCGGTGTGTTTCGTGACTGAACTTTTTGACTTTAGAGAAGAATTGAACAGTTATATTCAGATACTCTGCGCCTATAGCCTCTGCTGTTTGTACTGATTATCTTTTGATACCAACCCTTTATTCATCTCACCTGGTATTTGAATGTGGTAAATGTGATTTATATTTGATTTAGTTGATATATTAGCAAATATTGAAGTTCATATCTGGTTTTAATATATAAGGGAAACAAGGGGGTGATAATTAACTACCTAAGTATTGATATTTGATTACATGTGTTGATTATACTAGATTAAATAATTAATTGTGGTTAACTGATTACTATATATTAAATAATTAATTGTATAGTAAGGTTAATATTTCTTCACTTAGACCTGTAAACATTTAAAATACTACTTTAAAATATTGATATTTAGTATAGGAATTTCATAGCCTTTATATATATACAGACTAGTAATACTTAGAATTTAAATAGTGGAAACTCGGTATAAATACTAAGATTTATAAATTCAGGTATTTGATTTCTAATTTAACTTTAAAATTGTTTGGAGAATACTTATATTGATAAGAGTGACTAGTTTAATAATATACTAATCAACTAGGGTAGTGGACACTTCCATTTGATATTTTTGAACACTGAATATTAATTTGGGATAACGTATTTAGTATAATACAAAAACAGAAACAAATC